AGCTTCAAAGGAAACTACATTGGAGCCTTGCCTTTTACCAAGAGCCAAGCACCCAATAAGCGCCTTTTATGTAGCCTGTGTGATTTTGCCCCCCCACAGCTGGTTCCTGCAGTAGGCCGCACAAATGAACTGGAATTTCGCCATATTTTCTTTGGCTTGCATATTGCGTGGTAAATTTTGTTTTTGGCTTTGATCTTTGGTTCTGCCTAGATATTATTGAATTTTTATGCTATTGACGTGTACTATATGAATTTGTTTGTATGGGCCATGGCATAGCCCTTGCAGCGACCGGGCAGAAACGCGGTGTTTACTTACGATATGGGACCCATGTGGCAAACTACGTACATACGAACCTCCAAGCTGAGAACTACGAACGTTATACGGAGTACTCCATTTGATGATCTTTAATATGAATGACCTTAAGACCAATGGGATTTCTTAACGCCACTGTTTTTGTTCCTCGGTGATGAGCGCCCACCGAGGAACGGCCTGGAGCGTATGAATATGAAATTGGCCAGGTATGAATGCACATACACAACCAACACTGTACAGCCAATGCCGACCGTTTCACGATCAAAGATGGTTGCACGGTGGTCGCCACCGTTGATAGCCTGATCGGCAAGCCCTGAGCGACTTTGGATGTGCAGCCCAAACCGGCAATTGATTGGCGGCCCGCCCTTGGGTCTTAAGTTTCCACCTGTTGATCGCTATGCCGTCTGGAGTGGAGGGGAAAATGGTCGAGGTATTATTCTGATCCTGTAGGGTAACTTCAGTCCAATAATTAGAAGCTTTACAAGGTACCTAAGGTACTCCGGGGGTACATGGTACGCGGTACCGGACGGGATGCGTGGGCCCTAATTCTTCCGGGCTATTGGTCCTTAAAAAAGCAATGAAAAAGCAGACGGTCTGGGTTAAAGCCCTCTTATTTGTCCGACATTGCGTTGATAAGACTAATTGAGCAAGTGATTGCCGCTGTCAGCATCACATAGCCCAATGGTCGTGCACCTCGTGGCCACACCTCAATTTTTAGATCAGGTCTCGGGCCATGTCCATCTTCATTATTAAACGAATGAGAAGTGAGTTCTAAGGTTATAATGTGAATAACTCAGCATTTTTCAAACATCCGTATTATGTCAGTATTATGACAATGTTACGGATGTGATGGTTAATGGGAGTACATATCTAGCGGAGTACAACATAGGACACAGGTGTACTCCATATACAACGCCATACTACTTTTGGGGGGTGGCCGAGAAAGTACTTTTTTGGGGAAGATAATAAAAGTTATAATCCCAAAAAATATAATATATAATAATTATTTAACTCAATGTTCCTATGTCTCCACTAATTGAGGTCACTCACTAAACTCCTCCTCAATCAATACGATTGGTCTCTTCTGACGGGACTGAGCACTTGATGTGCACCCAGTGTCTTTCCCAATCCCGCCCCGGACTGGGATACCCATAATATTCGATTTATTCTATTATTCTATTTATTCCATTATCTTATTATCCTATTATCCTATTAATCTAATATTTCTATTATTTCTATTTAATCATAATTCTTGAGACAAATTAAAAATATTAAAAAAAAGCACCCGGTTCCTGGCCCACACCTAAACTAGTGACCCGGCAAGTAGAAAATAGTAGCAGATCACTCATTTATCCACCGCAACCTGCTATCTTTCCCTCAATTGTCTCTTCTCTCTCACTCTCTTCTTTTTTTATTTTATTTTCCCCGCTGTCTATTTTTTTCTTATACTTACACTCTCTCTAAGTCCTTTTTTTTTTGTTTGACTATTTTGGGTTTGGGGTTATCCTATTAGATTTATTTGGGATCCTCTCTGCTCTATATCACACTCTCTTTCCTCAAGTACTCCGTCTCCCGGTTCCCAGAACCTGTCCTTCCTTTTTCGACACACTCATTCATCGTCACCTATACACATACCTAATTGTCCATTCATTCATTCGGACTTGAAATCAACTATACTCCTACTAATATACAACGGGAAAAACACATTTCAATTGGACTACCAATCTCACAGGTATGTATATATCTATATACATTTCTGGTTTGATTCTAACCCATGGCATAGCACAACTCACAATGGACTCAACATACACAATGGCACCCACCTCGGTGGGACAGTCATTCGCATACTATCCCGACTCAACACAGAGACAGCAAGGTCACTACCAATCAGACATCCCATACTACAGCCAAATGCAGTACGGGCAGGAGCAACCGCTCTACTCCCCCCAGCCCATGATGAACATGCACCAGATGGCCACCACCAATGCCTTCCGAGGAGCTACCATGAGCTTGACACCAATTGCCTCTCCCCAGCCTTCGCAAATGAAGCCCACCATCATCGTGCAGCAGGGATCTCCCGGGTTGATGCCCTTGGACACTCGGTTTATCGGTCACGATTTGTACTCTTTCCCCTCGACTCCTCCGTTGTCCGCCTCGGGAAGCACCATCAGCAGTCCTCCGTCTGCCCATGGCGCACTACCAACCCCGATTCATGACACATTCTTCACCTTCGATAAGGTGGAGGGTGTCAAGGAGGGATGCGAGACCGATGTCCACCAGGAAATTCTTGCCACACCGGAGTGGGCGCGCTCTGATTCGCCTCCAATGACGCCTGGTAAGTTTTATAGATCACACTTTGATAAGAAAGGTGGATATGGGGAAGCAAGGGCGAAAAGCTAATTATCATGCAGTCTTCATTCACCCCCCTTCTCTTACTCACATCCACGGCTCAGACCTTCTGTCTGCAACCTCCTGCCCCTCGCTTTCCCCCTCCCCCTCACCCGTGCCCACCGACATACTTGCCTCCCACACTCTTGGGTCTAGCCAGTCTTTCTGCGATCCCCGCCAGCTCACCGTTGAGCCTTGTGTCCATTCTCACGCACAGGATCTGCCTCCTCTACCGAACCTCTCATGTGAGGAGGAGGAACCTCGCGCCGTTGTTGGCAGTGCGTCTGTGACGCTACCCGTAAATGAGAACCCGTCTCCTTCGTTCAGCTCCTCGACCCAGGACCCTCTGAGCTCGCTGCCGACTTTTGACAGCTTCTCAGATCTCGATTCTGATGATGAGTTGAACCACCTAGTGGAATTCCACCCTGCCGCCAATGCCGTCTACATGGGTGGCAAGCGCCAGCGTATGCACGCCTACCCGGTAGAGGACGATGGATTCCTGAGCGAGCACAGCCTTGAAGACTCGGATGACTCCGAGACTTTCATGCACAGTGGTTTGCCATCCTTCGAGTGGACCCAGACCGCCCAGCCCCAGCCTGAGAGCGAGGAGGAACACATCGAAGAACCCAAGATCAAGAAGCGTAGCAACCGCAAGTCCCGAAAGATCGCCGAAGAAGAGGCTGAAGCAAAGGCGCTGGCCGCCTGCGAGTCTTCTGGCGACTGCTGCTCTGATGATGGATCAGTGGATGACTCAGAGTCTGCTCCCATCTCGGTCAACCGCCGGGGTCGCAAGCAGTCTTTGACTGAGGATCCTTCCAAGACCTTCGTCTGCACTTTGTGCTCACGTCGCTTCCGTCGTCAGGAGCACCTCAAGCGCCACTACCGCTCTCTCCACACTCAGGACAAGCCGTTCGAGTGCAACGAGTGTGGCAAGAAGTTCTCCCGCAGTGATAACCTCGCTCAGCACGCCCGAACCCACGGTGGTGGCTCCATTGTCATGGGAGTCTTGGATGCAAGCGATGCTGGTTCTGTCTCATTCGATGATCAACATGACGCTGGTGCCCTTGGCCAAGTCATGTACGAGGCTGCCCGGTCGACTGATGTCACCGGTACTCCCTCCGTGGATCGCCGAGCGGCGAAGAAGCGCAAGCGTGACCTGTCCTAAGGGACTTTGCGTTTCATGATTTTTCTTTTACGAGACCAGGAGACTTCCTACTGCATATATAATACATACATTCTTCGGTCGGAGTCTTTCATTGGAAGCTCGACCACATTGGTCTTGATTGGGTTTGGCGTCCGGGCATTTATATTGGTGTCAGAAACTGGATCATCGGTGCACAGCAAAATGGGTTCCCTTTTTATTTTCAGCGTTTTGACATATCGCACGGGGACACATACACAGGCTGGGATTGCCTCGAAAGGTTCTTTTGGTGAAGGCACATGGGCGCAGAAGAGTCCAGGAAGAAGAAAAAAAAACGACATAAAGTGATGGCATCTGTCTTTGACAGAGCCAGGTGAAAATATTTCCTTTGTCACCTTGTTTTTTCTCTTTTTTTCTTTTCCTTTTTTCCTTTTGTTTCACTTGTTTTCTCCAAATCTTTCCTGGACCAGCACATTCGGCGTGAGCAATGTGCCTCACACTTGGAACCTTTGGGGTTTCCCTTCGTGTACTCTCCCTGTTTACTTCGCTTCTTGTGACTTTTTTACATCTTTCTTTTTTCCTATTCTTTTTCTACTTCCACCGTTTTCGTTCATGCTTGTTTCTGTCTATTCGATGTAATATTTTTTGTTTGACTTTTTTTGTGCTTTTATCTGCTTCTTTGTGCTGGTCACATTCGTGTATAAGTTAATTGACCCCCCCTTTTTCCCTCTCCATCACTTCATACCCCCTTCTTATATTGCATTGCCCCGTCGTGTTGGTTCCAGGTCACATCTCCAGATGTTGATTTACATGCATCAAATTACAAGCATAATCTTACTACACTCTTTCCTGGTAAATCTCCATGTAAGCATAGTAGAAGTATAGGAACTTGAGCATTACGGCTTTTAACCTTCAACCTATTTTATTTATACTTCCCCCAACTCAATCCAAATGTCATGCAGTAGTGAAAGATCTAAAAACCACGTGACCACCCGTTGTACTGATCTTATCGCTCTATCGATTAACGATAACCTTGGAAACTCACCTGGGCAAAAGGTGGGGACTGCGAAAAGTACCCCCCCATCACCCGCACCCGACATCCAACAATTCTGCGAAAAAAAAGAGACCTTCGATTCCCAGACCTGGGCGAACAGTTGTTATGTCTGCAGCACAGCCTTCAGCCCCTGGGCTCAATGTGATCGCCCTAATCTCCGGCGGAAAAGACTCCCTCTACTCGATCCTCCACTGCATCCGCAACGGCCACAAAGTGGTCGCGCTAGCGAACCTTTACCCAGAACCGCAGAACAAAACCCCAAACCCAAACCAATCCAAATATGACGAAGAAGAAGACATTGATAGTTTCATGTACCAAACAATCGGTCACAGCATAATCCCTCTTTACGAAACAGCCCTCCAAATCCCTCTCTACCGTCAACCCATCACAGGCGGCGCAGTCGACACATCCCGTATCTACGGAACCAAAACAGCCGACAAAGACGAGACAGAATCCCTCGTCCCGCTCCTCAACCGCATAAAACAGGCCCATCCAGAAGCAAACGCCGTCTCTGCAGGCGCCATCCTCTCTACATACCAGCGCACGCGAATCGAGAATGTCGCTAACCGTTTGGGATTGACACCCCTCGCTTGGCTATGGATGTATCCATCCCTCCCCACACCCGCGGCCAGATCGGCCGATACTCTGGCAATACGCCAGGCGGGGCTCTTGGAGGATATGGCAGCTGCTAGATGCGATGCTCGTATTCTCAAGGTCGCCTCCGGTGGTCTGGACGAGGGCTTCTTGTGGGAGAATGTGTCTGGTGGCGGGAGTGGCGGCCGTATGATGCGAAGGTATCTTGTTAAGGCTATGAGTCGGTTTGCGGCTGCAGATGATATCCGCGGTGCGGTGTTGGGTGAGGGTGGGGAGTATGAGACGCTTGCGCTGGATGGGCCTGGTTTCCTGTGGAAGCAGAGGATTGAAGTCGGTAGTCGGGAGGAGAAGGTCGGGGAGGGGGGTGTTGCTTTTGTTAGGTTGAGGGGTGCGAGGTGTACGGCTAAGAGTGCGTGGGAGATTAGCGATGGGATTGCGCCGAGTGATATAAGGAGGCCCGGGATGTTAGATGCAGTCTTTGAGGGTGTCTTGGGATCCGCATTGGATGTTTCTGGGTCGCTTGATGATTCGAAATCGCGGGCGATGACCAGTACTGCTCGGTCGCCGGATTGGCCTGTCTGTGAACCGGTGCATCGGCTGTCTGGTTCTACGTGGACTATTTCGAATATTGTTGCACCTGAGGCTGGTCCCGGGGCAGGAGCGCAGATGAGAGGGATTGCAGACAAGGTCGAGCGCGTGCTCAGGTCCTTTGCTCACCCTAAGTCGGGTACCCGATCAACAGACGACATTGTTTTCGCTACGGTGCTGCTAGATTCAATGACCGACTTTGGATCAATGAATGATATCTACGTCTCGCTATTCAAGAAACCCAATCCTCCTGCGCGAGTTACAGTGGCATGTGGAGACCGACTCCCGTCCAATGTCAAGGTGATGGTCACATTCGTTGTTGATCTGGGTGCGAGGGACCGGCGCCAGGGCCTGCATGTTCAATCCAGGTCGTACTGGGCTCCCGCAAATATTGGACCATATTCCCAAGCGTTGTCAGTTCCGCTGCAGAATGTTAGCAGACTCGTGTACATTGCTGGCCAGATTCCTTTAGATCCTGGTTCTATGGACTTGGCGCAAGTGGAGGGGTCAGGTTCATGGATTGAAAACTACCGGCTTCGAGCTGTACTGGCCCTCCAGCACCTCTGGAGAATTGGCGAAGCCATGCAGGTAAACTGGTGGCTCGGTGCGGTGGCCTTCTTGGCTCGCGGAGAGCACGCTAATACCCAGGCGCAAGTGGCATGGCGCCTCTGGGAAAGAATGCATGCTTTGCCTGACAATGAAGACGAGGATGATGACGATGGCCCGCAGCTGGATGCGTGGGATATCAAATATGGACGTCGCACAGAGGAGCTAAATGATCACCCTGTGCCGAGTCTGCCCAAGTTTACTGTTCTTGTTGAGTCTCACACATCCATCCCACCATTCTTGGCTGTCCAAGTGGATGAACTGCCACGAGGAAGTGATATTGAATGGCAAGGACTGGGAGGCCGATGTGAGCAGGTCAAGTTGGACATAAAAGGAGGGACATCTGCCACCACCATGGACAGCCAATACAAGTATATCAATATCGAGATCGACGCGGGTTCGTCGGACGATACATTGAAGCAAATATTGAGATCAGTGAAAGAAGCTCACTGTCGAGATTCCGCACTGTCTCAGGCTGTCTTATACATCACGCACTCAGTGCCTGAAGCCTTGTGGCCAGGACAGGTTGTGCCGTGCAGATCGATTTGGGGGCGGGAAGGACGAAGGTTGAGTGCAGGTGTAGTCCTGCAGCAGCTTGGTTAGGAACCACTCAAGAAAGAAAAAATACACTCGATTTGACCAAAGATCAAAATAAATAATACTTAGAGAACAGAGATCGTTGGATGTCGGTCATACCCCGTACATCGATGCACGGCGCACTGTTCGCTCGCATGTGATAGGCAAAATCCCTTCCGCATTCAGGAAAGATAACACTGTCATTTCTCTCTACCACGTTCTCAATATTTTTCGATATCGAACACAAAACGAGACTAAATCGTTAGGTATTCTGCTCTGTTCCTGGAGGTTCTCCCATCCTCCCCATACACCGTACATCACTATCCCACCCCGACATGACGTACTCATCGACATAAGCATGGCGCCATGAGTTTGCCGTGGAAAGAAGAACAAGAAGCGACGCCTCGCACCAGCACACCTCTCAGCCTCGAAGCGTTCGCCGAAGACCTCCGATTATTCAATCGCTCCCCCCATCCATACCACAGAAGCAGGCGCCTCGGATCAAGCACTCCCTCCGAACACGGCGACCGTCTCCAACCGCTCACCTCCTACTCAAGGTCCTCGCGAACAACCAGCGACAGTGGCACAGAGGCAGACGATGAAAGTACCGGTATATTAAGGGGGTTACCTGCCCCGCCGCTCCACCCTCGAAAAGGCCTACGATCTGGTCCCACTGACCTCGATGACTGGCTGCCGAGCTTGCAACCGTGGCCGTCATTTGTGCGGCCTAACCTGCGGACATCCCGGCGCAGCTCAGAGGAGGAGCTCGAGGAAGAGGCCTTTGAGGAGAGACTGAGGTTCAGACGCCAGAGACGGGTTGAGGTCCTCCGCCGATTGTTGGAGGCCGCGCTTCTGCTGTCTGTGGGTGGTGTGGTCTTGTACCAAGATGGGGTGCGCTCTTTAGCTTGGGAATGGCGAAAGGGTATGTGGAAAATTGCTGTTAAAAAAAATTGGAATGCGCTAATTGATTTGCAGAGCTTGCTGCTCATGGTCTCGTGGTCTTGGGTCTCTATGCCGCCTATCCGCTCGTTGTTCGTGCATCACAGGGCCGAAGCTGGCGTATCTGGCGCATCTGGTCTACGAAACGGACATACTTCTCAATACCCTCGAGCTTCGATCCGGCTCCCCTTCTATATCCGATCCTTATTCCGATATTTGTTTCGTTGTCGTTATCCAACCATATCCCGCCACTTATCATGCCTAATATCGTCCTCAGCTTGTCCTCTTTACCAACGCCTGTTATACCGTTCCAGAACCGGACCAATGGATTCAATACTCTCCATTGGATGATTTCTATGATTCCCATTCTCGTTGCCGAGCATTTCTCCTTGGACCATACAGTGCCCAAACCATTGACGCTCCGCGGGCTCGACGCGGAATCTTTAATACTTCTTTTCCCTTTGCATCAAGCGTTGATACCCACTTTAGACTTTTTGTTGACGACCAGCATTCTTCCCGCTGAGCTGCAGCTTTTGACAACAGCTTTGATCAACTTGTACTTGTTTGCGGCCTCTCCCCAGATGGAGATACTCAAAGCCCTGTTATGGCTTGGAGGCATGTGTTTGTTTGCTTCTTGTCGACATATACTGCGTTGGGAGGTTTCTTTGGCCAGAATTCCTAGCTGGAAATTCCGCCGTGCCCCGCATGTTTCGCAATCTCCCCGCAAATTCTTGAACATGATCGACCATCGACTTTGTGAGAAGTTGAGTAGAACGGGGCACGTCCCATCGGACGATGCTTCGTCGGACAGTGATGGGCCCAATGGGTTCTCATTCTCAAGGCCGCGCAAGACCAAGACCATGAGGGAGAGTCGCTCTTCCCGCCCGCCGGTAGAGCCGGCATCTGCAGTTGATAAGGTCACGACGGAAGAGATTTTTGAACAGCATGCTCGCGCTGTGCATCGACGACGCCATACCATATCTACATTCGATGAAGCTGTTCGAGAGGAACGTGTGCGCACTACCCCTGGTGGTAGACGCAAGAAAATGATGGGTCCTGCTCTGGCCTCCTTCCTCTCGCTCACTTCAGCCCAAGCGCAGGTCCGCAAATGGCTGTTTGCCTTTTACATCTATGTTTTGACCCTCATTATCATTCTTGGACCTATCCGAAAGTATGTGGCAGAGCGCGCACTGCAAGGCCAGGATCCGTTTGGATGGGCTATAGGCTACTTGTTGGGAAATTTCTCGAAGATTCGCTTTTGGGTCCTTATGTTGAACCTTGAGTACTGGATTGAACTTCCACCCCGCCCTGATATAGATATTATGAGTGCCTCCTGCTTCCTTGGATCGATCGAACACATTCGCCAGGTTACCTTTGGGCCTGCCATCACCCGTCTACTACTCAGTGGTTATTGTGTATTGGTACTGCTGACGGGCCTAGCTATTGTGGTTAAGCTCACCTCTGTTGCCGAAGTTGATACGCGCCGCAAGATTTTCCACGGCATGATGGTGGTCATGTTCCTTCCTGCTATATTTGTGGATCCAGCCTTCTGCGCCATGGCGCTAGCCTTGGTCCTCTCCATCTTTCTTCTATTGGACCTGTTCCGCGCCTCTCAACTACCTCCTATTTCGCGGCCACTCACCTATTTCCTGGCACCGTATGTTGACGGCCGTGATCACCGTGGCCCGGTCATCATTTCACACATTTTCTTGTTAATTGGATGTTCAATACCCCTTTGGTTGTCACTTTCCGATCTTCCTCGGACGGGCCTGGGCCCTTGGGCTGGTTGGGAGATTCCGTCACGCGATGTGAGCATGGCGAGCGGAGTCATCTGTGTTGGCATGGGCGACGCGGCCGCATCCCTCGTTGGCCGACGGTACGGTCGACTGAAATGGTTCTGGGGTGGCGGCAAATCACTTGAAGGCAGCATCGCCTTTGTAGTAGCGGTGACCTGCGGGCTGATCGCGGTTCGTGCCTGGTTGGTGCTCGGTGGCTGGCCTGTGTCTGGGGTCGAATCAACGGAAGGCGTAGCCTTCTCCGCTCACTTCTGGGCCTGGACTTTAGTCAAGGCGGTTTTGGCGGCAGCCGGAACGAGCGCCACCGAGGCGATCCTTACTGGTTGTAATGACAACGTCGTGGTCCCAGTGGTGTTATGGCTGCTCGTGCGGGGTCTTGGCGTTTGATGTGCCACGTTGATGTGTATATATGCACGACTTGTTTGCTTTTTATTTCTTGCCCCCTTTTTGTTTCTTTCCTTTTTGCTCGGAGGTTTGCGTTTGATTATCTGCCTATCATATCCCTGCGGCATTTGTATAGTATAGTGGGGTACATAGCCCGAGGATGTATAGATTGACCTCGACTACTCAGCTAGAGACCGTTTTTGAATGCCTATACTAGCGGCGCGTTATTGCATATCTGCCTTGCCTAGCTTGCCCCCTTTCCTTCAATTCGACCAATCGATGCGCCATGACTGGGAGTCATAGGCTGCAGATAAGCTTCCGTCACCGTACAGTTTCATCGTGTTTTGTGATCCGTCATCCACCTTGCAGCTTGTAAGTATTTACAGGAAGACATGGGAATACTGGATGACATATATAAAGGACCCTTAACACAGCCTAGACACTAATATTCCCACTGAATACGTATCTTCCTCACCTACAAGTCTCGGGTGTATTGTAACAGTGATACTGGAGATCTCGGGTATCTGCCTTGCCGATCTCGGCCTTATCTAATCGATAAGCACATGACATAGATCACTGCGATTTGGACTTCTTCTTCGCAGGCTTCTGCTGCTTTAAATAGGATTGTATCCCTTATTTCTCATAATTTCGCTCCTTCCTTCATTTTCTCTATCATTTTGCTCTCATCTATCATTTTCATTAGACTTCTTCATACGTTTTCATCTTATCGGGACTCTAGATCATCTCCGCCCTTCTGACCGCCTTACGCGATCATCGCCGCTTGTCACTCGTTATCGTTGGGTCACACCCCCCAATCGTGGAGTACCTTGGGTCTTGGGGTTCCCTTCCCGCTTCCACCATCACATCATCTTGCTCTTTCATGAGGACTGTCATTTTGCCTCCCTAGATCTTTGGTTCCCTCTCTATTATACTCGGATCTCCTAATCTCCTAACCTCCTGCCATTTTGGCTATTCTGCATCATACCTCTCACCGCTTTAAGTCCTTTGGATCAACTTGTGTTTGCTTCCTTGAATACATCATCTACATCGACATCATCTCTTATAATCTACCCGAGTTCACCGGTCTAGTTCCACGGCACCCATTTACAGTACCTTCCTAGGCCCATTCTCCCGGCGGTTCCTCGTTCTTCCAGGCTTCCCGGAGGCAGCATCATCGTTTCCATAGCTCCCCTGATGGGCCTCTCGACTGTACCGTTTACATTGCTGCTGCTGAGGTAGTTGTGGTTGCTGGGGTGTGACTCGATTCTTATTTTCCCCCAGCGAGAGTCTATCAGAGACAGAACAGGCATTGGCGTGCCCACCGCCGTTATGGCGTCACAACATTCGAGGAGATCACGCGAGCCCTCCCGTCCAGAAATGTCCGTCGGTCGCTATACGCGGCTCGATGAGATCGGGCGAGGTAGTTTTGCGACGGTCTATCAGGGTGTTCATACAGTGAGTCATGCCCTTTTTTGTAATGTGCGGAGTGATGAATGCTAATCGGGTTCTACCACACAGAAAACGAAAACCTATGTAGCTATCAAGTCCGTGAACCTGTCGAAGCTCAATAAAAAGCTCAAGGAAAACCTTTCGTCCGAGATCGATATCCTCATGGGCCTTCAGCACCCACATATCGTGGCCCTGATCGACTGCCATGAATCAACATCTCACATTCACTTGGTTATGGAATACTGTGCGCTGGGGGATCTGTCGCTGTTCATCAAGCGCCGAGACACTCTGGGATCACATAAATACACTCGGGATATGATTGCCAAATATCCAAATCCACCCGGCGCCTCGCTTAATGAGGTGGTTACCCGGCACTTCCTCAAACAACTGTCAAGCGCACTGAAATTCCTTCGTGACCGAAACCTCATTCATCGAGATATCAAACCACAGAATCTCTTGCTGTGCCCCTCACCTTCGTCATATCGGAATGGGAATGCTCAGGTGATTCCCTACAAAGGCAATGATGACTCTTACGAGCCCACGACGGGACTTGAGAGTCTCCCCATGCTCAAAATCGCAGATTTCGGCTTCGCCCGGTCTCTACCCGCCACTTCACTTGCAGAGACCCTTTGTGGATCCCCGCTGTACATGGCACCCGAGATTCTCCGGTATGAGAAGTATGATGCCAAGGCCGACTTGTGGTCAGTAGGTACTGTGCTCTACGAGATGGTGGTGGGCCGACCCCCATTCCGAGCCACAAATCACGTCGAGTTGCTCCGAAAGATTGAGAAGGGAGAAGACCGAATCCGCTTTCCGGAAGATAACCCCGCATCAGACGACATGAAAAAGCTAATTCGAGGTCTGTTGAAACGGAACCCAGTGGAGCGATTGAACTTCCCCGAGTTCTTCAACAACAATGTGATAACTGATCCGATTCCTGGCTTGGTCGCCGATGACGTTCCAGGGCCACCACGATCGCCACGGCCGAGGCAGCTTGTCACAAAGGCCGAAGAATCTCCTTATGATACTGGGCCGGACGACAAGTTTGCATCTCCTGTCGGTCAAAGACCGGTTGTACCGCGTCTAAAATCTGGAACGCCGCCGACCGCTACGCCCATGCGCCGCGTGGGAAGCCCTGACCGGCCTGCTTCAGGCATTGCCAGGGAGCATCAATCGGGAGGTACACCACCTCAACGGCCTGGTCCTGTCAGCCTTGCCACCGCTCCGGGGCGCCAGGAGCTCATCGATCGCAACGCCATTACCGCGGCCATGGAACGGCAGAGAAATCGGAATACCTACACTGGCTCTCCCAAAGCGAGTGACTCAACAGCCCGTGCCCAGGAGGCACGGGATCGCGCTGCACAAGAGGTGGCATTCGAGAGAGATTATGTTGTAGTCGAGAAGCGGGCCGTGGAGGTCAACGCCTTTGCAGATGAATTGGCTCATAGCCCACGCCTTCAGGGTGGACTTTCTCGACCAGGACAGACTGGCGCTGGGACCCGTCGGGCGACAACGCAGGGCATACCTACAGTATCACCATCTTCTCCGCATGCCAATGCGGCTAAAGCCATGCAGGTTGTCTCGGGTCGTTCGCGAGCGGATTCCATACATCAGCGCCAGCATTCCTACGAGCGACGTTACGGGCAAAGCCCTACGTCGGCGACCTCGGCAATTTCAAAAGCACTCAACATGGCCAGTGGTCGTCTATTCGGAATGGGGTTCTCTCCCCCCCTTGCCATCACTAAAAGTGGGCGATCTCCGCCTCTAGCCTACAACCCTTTCCCCGCATATCCTCCTGCACATGCTAGTCTTTTGATTACCGGAGACGGCTCCAAACCAAGCGCAACTGTCGACGAAGATTGCAAGGCAGTCCAGGCAATCGAGGAATGTGCTACGCGTAGTGATGTTGTCTTCGGATTTGCCGAGGTCAAATATAAGCAGCTTATCCCGTTAGCACCTTCGGCACCGACTGACCCATCTGCGAGACCCATGGACACAAATGTTGAACCGGAGTCTGCCGATCCAGATGATGGCCTGACAGTCGATGCTATTGTTACATTGTCCGAGGAAGCTTTGGTACTGTATGTCAAGGCTTTGTCCTTGCTTGCAAAGTCAATGGACATCGCTGGAGCTTGGTGGTCGCGCAAGAACCGAGAAGAGATCTATGGGGAATCTCCTACCAAAGACAGCATGAGCGCAGTTGCTGGTACCCGGATCAACTACGTCGTGCAATGGGTGCGCAGTCGGTTCAATGAGGTCATTGAAAAAGCCGAATTTGTGCGCCTGAAGCTCATCGAAGGGCAACGGCGATTGCCACTGGATCATCCTAGCCATCCAGATAACCATGCTATTGGCTCCACTGCCGGCTCAAGCTCAACCGCCGATGTAGTGGTGAGCCCTGGCGTCACAGCAGAGAGGTTGATGTACGACCGCGCACTTGAGATGAGCCGGGCGGCTGCCATCAATGAATTGACTGGCGAAGATCTTGCCAACTGTGAGATTACATATGTCACTGCGATTCGCATGCTCGAAGCTGTGCTTGAGGATGATGGAACGCGATCCATGCCCGGTAGCAACATCGAACGGCAACCTGGCGACAAGGTCGTTCTGGATGAGCTGCAGGTGGAAGATCGGCAGGTCGTCGTCAAACGTGAGTCTTATCCAAATCCATCCACCAAACTGATCCCAAACTTACACATTGATCCAGTTGTATCCAGTATGCGTGGCCGCCTCGCATCTGTCCGGAAGAAGGTAGCTGTTTTATCCAAGCGATCATCGGTGTCGACTCCAATGGTGGGCAAGATACCTACATCCACCATTTCTCCTGTTGCATATGCCACGGGGGTGACACCGCCTAGATGAGCACTTTGTTCTTCAGATTTTGACCAAATCTATCGAGATTATTACGATATTGTTCAATTCCGTAGCGTCATGATTATAACCTTATCTGTATAAGGTTAACTCACGACGCTAACGATTGACCCCCATTTTCCCCCGCCGTTCTATATATGGTAACCCCTGGTTAGCTCCTGGGTCATGTTCCTCTTCTTGCCAATATCTGCCATTTACGTCTCTACGGAGATACTAATTTCTTCGTTCATATTTGTTTGTCGATCCATTTTTTCCAGTTCACGTTTTGCCATATATCCCACAGCACGAGACCAGGGGAGTTTTTATTCATGTTTTTTCTTGTCATGCCATGTCTTATTGCCTTTCTTTTTTCTTTGCTCTGTTTTTCTCTTTTTCGTTGGGATTGGCGTTTGACCCGGGGACCCACGGTATACAGATTGGCCGAGTTTTTTTGGGTTGGGAACGCACAAAGGTCACGGCGTTGGGGTCCAAGATTGGATTTGGTGCAGATACGGTTTGATGTCATTGTATATATAGAAATTGAGGAAACTCGTTTACATTCTATAAACAAGCATATATATATACCCCGTAGTATGTACAACATATGCTGAGCTAGGAGTATCTGGAGTACCTAGGTAGCTGTACGTACCATTTTTCCTCTGCCGGGTGGGGCTTTCCTATCTTAGCTGCCGCCGCTTTTATGA